CATTGATTATGGTATCGTTTTGAGTCAGATGTGGAGATTGGGACTGTGAGGCACAGTTCTGTGCCGGGTCGGCTCCTTTCTCTTTCTCTCATTCCCAAGAAGTGAGAGGTCCAGCCCTCAGCTGCTATTTTGTGGTGCGCTGCAGGGCTTGATACTTTCTCCACTCCTTTTCAACATCTATATGAAACTGCTGCATGAGATCATCATGAGATTGTCACCACAAGTTGAGGTATCTAGAGTACGATGATGACATTTCCATTTTTGGTGACCCAAGTGATGCTGTGGCCACACTCTCACGGTGCCAGAAGGCTATGGGGGCCTGGATGGGAGACAACAGCTTTGACTGAACCCTGATAAGACTTTGGATACTGGGATCCAGGATTTTGCCATATTTGACTTTGAGTGGCACTGGCCCAGAAAAATCCAGTTTGCAATTTGGGGCTTCTACTGCAGCAATCCCCAACCTTTGCAGCTTAGCAGCCTGGTGGGGGAGTGAGTGGAGGAAGAGAGGAACAAGGCTGTGCAAGTGGTGGGCTGGCACACACACACACACACACACACACACACACACACACTCATATACACACACAGCACATGCATGTTGGCCCATCGCTCACAGAAGTACAACTGTGCACATGAACTCTAACTGCCACTCATGCAAGTTGAGCTGCATGCGTGCATCAGTTGAGCTGATTGCAAATAGGCCGCAGCCCAGGATTGGGAAACCCTGTTCTATTGGACTCATGACTCCTGCTCAACAAGCAGTCATGGCTAGAAGAGCCATTCTGTGTTGTGTGCCAGTTGCAACCCTTCCTGGATCAGGATTTCCTGTCCTCAGCAGCTCAGTCCTTGGTCATCTCATAGCTGGACTATTGTAATCCACTCTACATAGGGCTAGCCTTGAAGAGCTTTCAGAAACTATAGCAGGTGCAGAGTATGGCAGTAGGGAAAGTTTTTTTTTTTGGGGGGGGGGGGGGGGGGAATGACTCCTGTAACACTGCTGCTCCACGAGCTGTATTGGTTGCCAGTCTTTTTCTGGATATAATTCAATTATAATCAGGGGTGGAATTCAAAAATTTTAACAACCAGTTCTGTGGGCGTGGCTTAAGTGGTGGGCATGTCTTGGTGGTCATGTGTGGGTGGACATGGTTTGGTGGTCATGTTATTGGCTGGGTGTGGCCAACTCAATATCACTCACATCGAGGCACGCATCTCCCCGCCTGGCCTCTCATGACAGTGGGGATGCTGCAACAGTCGTAAGTGTGAAAAATGGTCATAGGACACTTTTTCCAGTGCCATTTTAACTTTGAATGGTCACTCCACACAAGCAAAGTACCAGCAAAGGAGGGGGAAAAAACTCCAGAGAAGTTCCTGAGACAGAAAGTCTAGTCCTGCCAAGAATGTAATAAGGGTTAATGGAGAGGCAGTTTCTGTAAGCAACACCAGAATGTTTCCTTCCTGCCTTCCTTACAGGATTAGGCCAGTAATTTCTTCTAACAACCGGTTCTCCGAACTGCTTAGAAGGTTAACAACCGGTTCTAGTGAATAGGTGTGAACTGGTAGAATCCCACCCCTGAATATAATGATATACTTGAAAGAGATTAAAATAAGATATTAAGGAGCCCTTTTAAAGGATATGGGTAATCCTCCATTTATGCCCAGTTTGGGACTGTAATCTGCCATTGAGAAAAACAAGATGTTATATGACTGTTTTGCTCAACAACTACAAACTTGTATTCTTAGTTGTGGTCATTAAGCAATCTTGCAGATTGCTAAGCAAATGGTGTTCCAGATTAGGATCATGGGATCCTCAAATAGAGAGGAAGGGAGGAGATCCTAAAAGGCTCTACTCAGAAGCTGAAAATCCTCCTTACTGAAATCCAAGCAGGATTTTTGGCCCCTGAGCAGAAAGACACTTTGCATGCAGCCTATGCCAGTCCTCCTCTACCTCCCTGAGGCACCTAACAGTCTTTATTTTATCATGCAGCCTCTCTATTATCTGTTTGGATTTCAGCTCCCTCTCATGTCTTGGAGCTGGCTAAAACAGCTCCCTCCCCCAAAAAAGTTCCCTCTATGTGCACAGAAAATAAACTTCTCTGGCAGGAGCAGAACTCAAACATTCAAGATTTATGCTCTGTTTTTACATTCCATCAAAGATATTCAGCTCCCCTCAGCAGAGAGCCCTTCCAACCAGCCCTCAGGGGCAAGGGGGAATCCTCAAAGCAAGCAGCAGCAGCTGGCAATATTTCCCTGCTGGCTTCCCCACTGTCTTTCTGGGGAAGCAGACAGAGATTACAAATGCAATCACATGATCACAGGGCACTTGGCAACCAGTCCTAAATGCAAATAAGTTGCCAAGCACCCAGATCATAATCATGTGACCACAGGAATGGTGGTGCAATATTTTAGAACAGTTGGAAGTGCTTTATAGGCTGTAAAGTACCCTTTCTGAGGCGGCATAATCCCAGATCATCATTAAATAAATTGTCATATGTCAAACATTATGTATGAGTTCAACATTATTGGTCTACATCAATGTTTCTCAATCTTGACAATCTAAGATCCATGGATTTCAATTCCCAGAACTGAATAACATAGTGTAGCATAGTACTATGCCCATCACAGAAAAAATATTTTTGTGAAATGCTTTTATATGCTTAGTTGCTTTGTGAATCAATTAAAGGTATACTTGATAGCTATGCAGAAATGAGATTTTAACAGCATCCTGACACCTTCCACCTCAAAACCCAAACTTTCCCCACTAGTCTTCTCATGATAGAGATTGCCTTTATCTAATAATGATTACGCTGCTAAAGCATAGGAGTTACTGACAATGAAATATTTGTCAGCAATAATCAAATACCCTACAATTCATCACCCTTTTAGTTATCATTTAAGAATTATTTACTTACCAGACTCCTCAATGCATTCAACAATGACAGGGCTTTCAATATACTGACTTTACTGCAAAAGTTCTTAAAAATTCAGGGAGATATTCAGAGATGCAGCTACTTTAAAGCAGCCCTTCTTGAACTACAGTGCAGTCAAACATCCATAAGGAAATATTTTATGCTATTTTGTATTCTGTTATAAAATGTTTTATGATAATTTCTGTCATAAAATATTTTATATAGTTTGCCAAATTTGAAATTTCATGGGTCCTGGATTATGGACACATCTGTAAGTTAACCCATTTGAGGTACTGTTGAGGTACAAATTTGATTAGAAAAACTGTTGCCTGATGAGGCATCATTTTCACCAATTAAAGGTGAAACAAGAGCTTTAGTACTCTGTTATATGGATGAATTTAACCATTTAACCCAGGCAGCCATTACCTAAACCCATTATTATATAAAGCCATTCATTATATAAAATATAAATATAAAGCCATTATATACATACATACATACATACATACATACATACATACACACATACATACATACGGGAGCGCCTATCAGTTGAGACTTTCAAGGAGAGATTGGACTACCATTTGTCAGAAATGGTGTAGGGTCTCCTGCTTGGGCGGGGGATTGGACTAGATGACCTACAAGGTCCCTTCCAACTCTGATTATCTGTATCTAACATACATACATACATATAAAGCCATTATATAAAGGAGGCATGCATAAGCACACCAGAGTGCCTACCATCCCTGCCTTACTGTCCCCATTTATCTGTATGTACTTCCTTTGTTCATGTTTATGTTCATACTTATACTTGTCTTCTTCTACATGTTTGACAAACAAACACACAAACAAATAAATAAAATATAGGCAAATACTTGATTGTTCTGGTCTGCCATCTCCTGGCAAAATTAAAATACTACATTATTTTCACACACAAGAAAAAATTATCTACTTATTGTATATCACAAAGTACACTAAATTCTCCGTTCAGATAAACTTGTCTCCTAATCACTTATTTCCCCACCCCCAAAAGATTTAGTTTGTTTTTCAATTGAATTGCATAGCATATATGTTACATTAAAGGTAAAAAAAATCTGAAGTGATTTATTTTGGTCTGATTTTTCTATTTCTCTAAATTTTAACAAGGGTTATTTTCCCCTCACTGTTTCAAAAATATTTTGTTAACTTTCCAGTTTAGCCTCTACACCTGATAAACTCTCATGGAACTACTAACTGGGTCTACAGTACTCTGCTTATCTTTTTCAAGATCAGCCAAATCAAGGGGCATTTTAAATAATCTATAAAAATGGTTAAAACTGAAAAATAAACATGCCAAATTTGAAGATGTTTATCACAAAATAACTATTAAAATTATAAGACACTTAATCCTAACAATATAAAGGAATTTCAGTAAATCAATGCAAAAAGGTTTTTTATGGCATTAAACACTTAAAATATTAATAATATATTGCATGGAGGAAAATACCTTTTCAAATCTAATTAAAACAAGTATTGAAGTAGCTAGTTATATTTCCAACATAAGACAGTTCTACAAATTTGGCCCATACCTAAAAAGGCTCTGCCACTTTTAAGCAAATTTGATGATATGGTTTCTTATAAGGTAATCATAACTTTGACACAATTCATAGAGATAAAAATGGCTTTTAAGTAACTTAATCCTCAATACAACCATTTTCAATTGATCCCAGAAACAAACCAGGAACCAATCCTTCTGATATAAAATTGGAATAATGTAAATATATCCATGACTTTTCATTCTGTACCAATTGAACTTTACAAACTGCCTTCAAAGGCTATAGATAAAATATTGCAATACAGTAGTTGAATCTGCATGTAATCAGAACCTAACTGAAGCAAGGCTGTTGCCGAAATTGATAAAATTGTGCTACTTGTCTTTATCTAGCAGTTCTCATAAAGAATGCCAAGCTCACTAGCACCCCACAAAAAACAAATTTAAGAACTAGGGGTCAAACCAGCAGGTTAATTTTGAAAACATGCCAAGATCTTGTTCTTTCTTTTAAAAATATGTATAAAAAAGAGTAAGCATTTTTCCCAACCAAAAGTTCTTACCACATCAACTGGTTTGAGCAAGGGGCATCCCTGACCCTCTGGGAGTCTTGAAAAAGATTTATTTATTTTATTTATTTTATTTATTTGATTTGCCAATTGTTTACAAGATAATAAGTATAAGTGTATACATAGTTGTGAATACATGAAATGGGTACATATAAGAAAAATAAAAGAATAAGAGAAACAATAGGACAGGGACGGTAGGCACG